ATCCCCTTGTTCTGTCTGAATGACTGCCTCTTGATCTATATACAGGCTCCTCATGAGCACCATCAAGTGTTCTGGAATTCCCATTCTTTGCAATGTTATCCATAATTTGTTATCATGCACACAATCAAATGCCTTTGCATAGTCAGTAGAACACAGGTAAACAACTTTCTGGTATTCTCTGCTTTCAGCCAGGATCCATCTGACATCAGCAAAGATATCCCTAGCTCTATGTCCTCTTCTGAATCCGGCTTGAATTTCTGGCAGTTCCCTGTTGACATACTGTTGCAGCTGCTTTTGAATGATCTTCAGCAAAATTTTATTTGCGTGCAATATTAATGACATTGTTCAATAATCTCCACATTCGGTTGGATCACCTTTCTTGGGAATAGGCATAAATATGGATCTCTTCCAGTCAGTTGGCCAGGTAGCTGTCTTCCAAATTTCTTGGCATAATGAGTGAGCACTTGGTAAAACAGACAGGCCTTGATGACTGACTGAATTAGAGACAAATAAGACTGATTCTGAGATCTTGAGCTGGGACACACTGGGCATAGAAGATTGAGTAGGAGGAAATGGGCTCAGCAGGGGAAGAAGAAAAGAGGAAGGGAAGATGATAAAGCTCATTTTAGTTGAAAGCGTCAGTTTAGTCTTTCAACCAACTTTTACTATTATCGCTACGTGCAAGATGTAGTTCACTCTCCTTGTTCATTTCTACTCCAAAATAAAAGTGGGCTTGCAAGCAGGGAAGTTATAACTGGGGGGTCGGGTGGGGGGAGAGGTGGCAGAGGTTTAGAAGAACCTAAACAGCCAAGTATTTATTTCTTCTCTGTACATCATTAAACAAAAAAGGAAAATGAATTTGAAATCTGACTCTACCCAATTTAAGCTCCTATTACCACAGAAGGCTGCTGGCTTGTTGCCATGACTACAAGATAAATTAAGTTGGGAAAAATAATGGTATCCATTGTATAGAAAAACGGAAAACTAAAAATGTAGCACAAAAGCCCACCCATCAGAACCAGTACCAGTCAAAACTGCACATGACTGACAAAGTGTTACTCTTTCCTAATGGAGACTATACTTAAACGGGTATCAAAACTTCAAGTTACAAATAAAAAACCCTGAAATTTCAGACCCAGCTGGTAGGTAGGGGAGGCTTTGGGGTCTGAGATTCTCCCATTCCACTCAAGGCTAAGGCAAGAACACATATGGCTTTCTCTCAGCACCAATATACCATTACAACATTTTTTTCCCAGCATGCATTGTTCCAAAATTATTTTTAAAAAATTTCAGAAAATTAATAAATTTTCATCCTAAAAGAAATATACTCTAACCTACACAACCATTGAAATTATTATGAAACAGCAGCAGAAATGCACTGAGATTTATAATAGTTGCTAAAATATTTGAACCTTGTTTCTTTTGTAAGAGAGGAGTCAGACAGAACATTCTAAACCACCCTGGGGAGGGGACCGGGAATAGGTAAGTGGGGGTCAAGCTTAGGCAGAGCTAAGAACCAGACCAGCAATAGCAACGGGCATTAAGCTACCTTCTCCCACTCTACCAACTATTGCTGAACCTGTCAATGTATTATGCATATAAGAATATGACAATTTTGAAGATATTAGTCATAACCCTATCAAAACTGACATGTTCTTCTATAATGACTAATGTCTAACGTTTACTGTGCCAGACACTGTTTGCTGCACTTCACATACATAAATTCATTTAATCTTCTTTATAACCCTGAACCTCGGTGGCAGAAACGGTTTGTGCTACACTACGTACCTAAAGGTTGGCAGTTTGAACCCACCAAGCGGTGCCATGGAAAAAAGGCCTGGCAACTTGCTTCTGTAAAGATTACAGCCAAGAAAAACCTATGGAGCAGTTCTACTCTGTCACACATGGAGTTGGAATTGACTCCATGGCAATGGGTTTGTTTTCTTTTTTTTTAGGTGATGTTGTTAATCCCCATGGTACAGATGGCAATTTGCCCAAGCCCACCAGCAAATAATGGAAAGGTAGGATTTGGACCCAAGCAGTCTGGCTTCAGAACGAGCGAGCCTGATCACCAGAACATTCTGCCTTTCAGGCTTCCTGCTTGTCACCCAAGGATCACATCAGGTCAGATTCCCAACTCAGGTCAAATTCCCACACCCTTGCTAGCATTAAAAAAGAAACAGAAAGGCCTGGGAAGAAACATTTGGGATAAAATGACACAAACTTGGTAACAAACTACTGGTTGTTTTTGTACAACTCCCCAGCACCAATGAATAAATGTAATTAAGTAAGGCTCCAGTTCAACTTTTCTTGCCAACAGAAGGGAAAGAAAGTAAAGCTAATGTACTGCCAAACACAGCAGAAAATAGTGTTTATCAGACAGATATTGAGACCCAATAGCGTGCCTGGCTCTGTGGGCCACATGTGGAAGGTTATGGAGTCTATGCTCCTCTGCCCATGAGACAGGACTTGAATTACAAAAAGCAGGGATTATTTGTGTCTAGCTTTTGGGAGAATGTTACATCCTACAGAAACCAAATCTTTCAAGATTTTAATTAAGGACCTCTTAAATGACAGATAGCCAGAGCATTTTAAGAGGGAAAAAGTTTAATATTTAAAAGAAACTGATCTGGTGCAGAATCTAAGAGTTCGATGTCAAGAGCAAGCAAACAAAAACAAAAAACTGATACTTAAAACACGAGCTAATAAAACCACCCAGCTTACTCTCTTCATCTAATCTTTGTCTTAAATATAATTTCTTAAGACTCAAAGCAAGATCTAAGCTCAACCCTTAGGGCACAGAGTAAGTAGAATGAATTATACTGTTTTTTGTTTTTTTTTTTTTTTTTTTTATAGAAGTGATATTACTTTTCTAGCCTGACTACTGTATTCTAATCACGTAACTCTTAGAGAAGTTGGGGACTCCACTATGCTGCTTTTACTTGGAACATTCTGTGCAACATTATTTGTGTAGTCCACATAGTTCCTAGATAGCATTCCAAAATGATAAATTCTTTTTAAAGTTACTGCAAGAGAAATGTGACCACTAGCCTAACCTCAAACATCTAAAAATACAGAATAAACACAATCTGCACTTACCTTTAATCATGTTTGCGATAGGAATCCATTTCTCTTTTAATGGATCATAGAACTCGGCCTCTTCTGCTGGAGCCCCTTTTCTGTAACCACCTAAAGCATAAACACAGCCACCTAAGGTGACTGCACAGTGGTAATACCTAGCATTGAGCATTGGCAAACCTTCTGTCCATTCATCACTTTCACTGTTATAGATCCACACCGTGTCAAGAGCTTCTATGTTATCTGTCCTGTAACCCCCAGTTACATAAATGTTGGGTCCTAAACATGTAACACCATAGCTCTCCCTAGTATAATCTGGTATTTCTGCTCCCTGAATCCAAACATTCGTCAAAGGATCCCATATGTGAACCTCGGATAGAGGATGCCAGTAATAGCCTCCAACGATATACATGGTGGCTGTGGACCTCTGGGAAATCTCTTTATGCACAGGATTCAAAGCATTGTATATTAAAGATCGTATCTTATTTTCTGTTAGTAGGCAGCTTCTTTGAAGGCCTAAAGCTGTTTTTAAATACACTGGATCTATATCTACATTGATATAGCTTAGCAGATTATACAGGCATTCAATTCGATTTTCTACATCATGAGCAGTCCATTTAATAACTGGCTCTATGATAGCTTCTTCTTTCCAAACACTGAGATTCTTTCTGGACAAGATAAAAAGAAACTTCTCCAGGCTGATTTCCAGAAATTCTTCTTGTTGCCATACTTCCTTAAACCTTGAACATAGAATTCTTCGTGATTCCTTCTCCAGTTCTGGACACACATGAAATTCTGCAAAGGAATGCATTCCAATACAATTATCAATATCCAGGTGCCTTACCAAAAACTGCTCACAGGCCTTCTTTACTGAAAGGAACTGTAGCAAATCGGCTGCTTCAAGCAGGCTCTGAACGTTTCTTTTAGTTATTTCAATTTGGGAAGTGTATGCATAATTTACAAGGCCTTCCAGAATATCATGGTGGATACCAGAGAGTTTTATTTTGTTTTTAAATTTTTCTTTCATGTCAGCTGTGAACATTGCCTTAAAATAATTGCTGCAAGCAGCTAAAACAGCTCGGTGACAATGGAAGATTATGCCTGAAGGACACTGAAGGGTAATATCAGTAAATAATCCATCCAAATAAAATGTTCTGAATGCATCCAGAAAATCCACTGGATGTGACGAATCCTTGAAAAGATAAATATAATCTTCTTGTCCTTTTAGAGCCATGGCTGCAAGAAATATGAAAGAATAAATGTGTTTTCAATTTTGCATTACCTCAAGTAATAAATGCTAAATATTCCAATCATCAAATGATTATCATCGGATATACTACAAAAGTAGACTAAGTTCAGCATTCAAAGTTACAAATGCAAAATACGGATGCACCGCTTTGTAACTGATATGATGATCAATTTAAATTCAGGGTAGCTCAGAGCATGAAATGTGGCACCTCAGGTTTTTCAGTTGTCTTTTGAGAAGAAATAATTGATTTGCTACCCCCATTCATCCCGTCTCCGTAATCTGCCCTGGGCTGACAGTTCGAGAAGCGATTCCACAATAGGCAAAACCAAGCGCCCAAGCGGTCCCGACACACAATTCAATATTTTTCTCTAGCTCCGTCTCCTTTTCAAATCACACAGAGATGCCAAGAAAGGGATGATCGAAATAAAACTGGACAAGAAGAAATCTCGGGAAAAAAGGGAAACCTTGTGCCTTTTTTCCAAGGAACGAGAGAAAAGGAAAATGGCCCAGCCGCCGTCGCAGCCCCTCAGCCACGCGCCCCCTCCCGCGAGGCTGCCGCAAGGGTTTCCGCGGGTCCCGCTCCCGGGCCCTCAGGCCCACCACGCTCCTGCCTAGAGACCGCCCCGCCCCGGGGCCTGGCGCGGGGACTCGGCTCGAGAGCCCCGCGCTGGGCGCGGTGCCCGCGCCCCTCTGCCCGGAGCTCTGTACAGGTGTGGG